GTGCGTTAGTTTGACAGGAAAAAATGTTACAAAAATGTTATAGAGTAAACTTAAGAAATTAAGTTGTACTTAGAAAAAAGAAACATAAGAAATAATTCAAAATAAATTCAAGACCAGTCTTAAGAATTTCATTCTCAACTCTTTATTGAAGTGTATTTACATATCTTTCTTTTCTTTGTAATCGAATGGGATCAGCGGTTATAATTTAATGTTCTCTGAAATACAGTTGAAGGAAAACCAAAATGTTTCTCAGTTATCCATGGGGGTGTTACCACTTTTTTATTTTATTTTTTTATTGAAAAATAAAGAATATCAATGACAATCTCAACAATACGTCAATAATATAATGAACATTACAAGAAACAAATAAGATCACAACTCCTATTAACTCCAATAAAAACTAGAGGCTAGAACAAGGAAGAGAAAAAAAAAAACTAAAATAAATTATTAAAAAGAGGGGACTAACTGAAATTCTTCCAATAAATCAGACAATTTATTTGCTTTAAGGTTCTGCTTCTTTTTCAGACATCGGTTAAAGGAGGAAAGTTTCCTTTTGAGAGCAGAGAATGAGAGGGAGCATTATGCATAACGACATTTATGGATATAATATTTGGTTATAATCATCAAAGTATTAACTAAGAATTCCACCTTTTTTATTAATATATAAACCAAACTGAATTATTTGTAAGGAATCTGCTTGAATAGGCTTCTCGATATATTATTTAATTAGGTTTTATTTACGGAAATACTTTAAAAGAAGGAACACGGATATGACGTAAAAGGGGGTGGGTTTAACAAAGAAATCAGCCAATGAACAGCAGGGATCTCTTTCACAACATTCCAATCCCTCCCGCTCCACAACACCCCCTCCTTCTCCTCCCTATTCCTCCTCTGTGTGTGGAGGAGGGGGGGACCGTGACACGTAAACTTTGTCCGCCACATTCTGTCAGGACAGATCACCCCCACCTGGACAAGGAGAGCAGAGAAAGACCAATTCCCTGTCCCTAATCTGAATCAACCAGAATCTGTAGAAAAAAAATCAAAAAACAAAACAAAACATGGAGGCGAGAGACGCTTCAGCAGGTGAGGTTGCTGTTAGCACAGGCAGTCAGTCATAGACAGCGGTTTGTTATTGTTTTTTTAAAATCTAATTACTAGTTAAAGCAACACTTAAAGCCACGATCTCAACCACAGCTTTGTTTTGTGTAACTATAATCCAAAACATGAACTGGCAGGTTGTTATTGAGAGTGGGTCCATTCAGATCTGGTTTAGATTTGTCTATTTAAGGTCATTTTTCGTTTTTATTCTCCTTATAGGTGCTTATGTTGGCACTGAGAGTGTCAAACAATCTGCCAAGAAGGATGCAGCTCCAAAAGCAGAGAAAACTCAGACTAAAAGCAGGATGGAGGAGTTATTTGGGTTCAAAAGGGAGGACCTGAGCTCCTGGCAGAACCTGGTGGCCCTCCTGAACCGACCCACTGATCCTGCATCGCTGGGCATCTTTCGCTGCTTGTTTGGTGATTCAATCAAAGCTCTCAGTTTCTTAAGTACAAGTTTGGTATAAAGAAGATCCTAATTCAAACCTGTGTTTTGTTTCCTTTTTCCCGCAGGTCTGCTAATGGCAATAGATATCACACAGGAGCGAGGCCTCAGCCACCTGGACTACAAATACCTGGATGGGGCCCCTGTGTGCCGCTTTCCTCTCTTCAATTTCTTAGAGCCCCTTCCGCTTGATTGGATGTACCTGGTGTATTTGGTGATGTTCCTCGGTGGGTATATTATCTGTTAGGAGGAGCTCATCTAAAGTCTGATATGAGGCTGTGTATTTTAATGGAAGCTGTCTGAAAACACAGACATATACATTAATAAACAGATTAGATACTCAGCCGGAGGACATGACTGCTATTTTAAGCAGGTCTGTCTGTTACGTACCTGGTCGCCTCCCTCGGGAGGTTTTCCAGGCATGTCTTATTGGGATGAGGCCTTGTAGAAGGCCAAGGACTTGCTGGAGAGACTTTGTCTCTGAGCTGGCCTGGTGTTGCCTTGGGATCCCCCCGAAGCACCTGGAGGAGGTGTGTGTTGATAGGGAAGTCTGTGCATCTCTGTTTAGACTGCTGCCTCTGCGACCTGGCTGCATAAAGCGAAAGAAGATGGATGGATGGATGGATGGATGTTACAGTTGATCATGTTCTTGCATCTGGGTGAAAGATTTACTCAAGATAAAGTAGCACTACTTCGAAAAAATTTCTGCTCTGTAAAAGTAAAAAGTAGCCGTCCATTAAATTACTCAAGTAAGAGTAAAAAAGTGCTTTAAGTTTCTTTTAAGTTTCTGTTTAAAATGATGGTAATTAGACAGACCATAAAACATATATGTGCAAATTCCTTTTGTTTTAAATAGTAAAACAAAATAATGAACAAAATTATAAAAAACTAAATAACAATAAAAAAAAAAATCAGTGAGAAGAAGCATGTCTCAAAATAGATTTTTTTGGCATATGAAATAAGAAACCATTTCATATGTAAAAGTATATAAAGTAAGCATGACAGAACATGGCAAACTGCTTCCACTGACGATATATACTTATTTATTGTATATTACCTTGAACTTCATGTCCTAGATGTCTCAGCAGAGAGAAGTAACATAAAAGAAATAATCATTTTCATGAAACTAAAATATGTAGTGGAGGATGTTCTTTTTCCAGATGGATCATTAAAATAAGTGGTCCTCGTAACTGTCAATCATTGTGGTGATAGGTTTACGTAAGGCCGTCCTACGTGCTCATCTCCATTTTCACTTACTGTGGTGAGTCTGACATAGTGGAAAAATTGCAAATCTTCTTTTGGAAAGTCAGCTTGTATGAGTGACGCAAACATCACCTTTAAACAGAGCGTGCACAAGCAGAAATGGGCTCGTTCACGCTCTCGCACGTGTTTAATAGGTGTTCCCTCTCGGTAGCGGGTATAGGGTTGTGCATGTGCATTTTTTTTTAAAGTGAAGAGGACGGGTCTTTTCAAAAATTTGTCAAAATCCTCCACTATACCTTTGAACAGTCTTGCTATTTCTGACACATTTGAGGTTACAATATGCATGATAATTTTTAAGTAAGATGACTTACATTGGTAGCAATACTGTTTCTGATGATATTACTTAATGAAAAGTAAAAAGCTACTCTCAAAAATATATTTCTATAAAACATTTTAGTCAAGTTAATGTAACTTAGTAAATCGAGCTAGATACTACCCACCTCTGCTCCTCTTTCAATTATTACTTTAGTTTCTTGATGGTCGGCACCATTTGGTTGAGGCCAGCTGTTTCTCCACGGCAGTCTTTGATCGCTTTCAGAATTCAGGAAAAAAAGATACTTTTTTTTTCAGCTGTTCTGTTTTAGATTTTCTGCTTTGACATCACTGACCTGTCAGTAATAAAGCCTGCACACAGTCTTTGACAGACATTTGCCCCAAGAATACTTAAATACACACAGGAGTCGAAGTTCAGCCAAATAACTGCAGGGTGGCCTGTTGGCAGCAAAATAAGCCTAGATCATCACCGCTACTATGCCTTTGTTTGTATTTACATTTTTCCAAAGTTTTTGTGTTTCATAAAGATGCAGCTCAGCAAAACAAATCACTAATCAGACCTTCTTTTAAAAAAGAATAGTTTCTTACTTAAAACCCCGTAATACTTCTCTGGCCATTACATGATTTGCTTTTTGGGTGATTTTCCTTAAATATTGACTCCTGTTTATAACACCAGTTTTAAATCATTTTACTATTAAATTATGGTAATTAACATACTTGTTTATAAAAGGCCTTTTGTCACTTTGTAGATCGATAAGCAGCAACAATTTCTGATGCCTTTCCATGCTTTTCGGTTTTCCTGAAGATTCTCAACTGTGCTCTAAACTGGTTTTATAGAAACGGTCACACTACAGTTTAAAGGAACTTCCTAAATCCATCATGATTTTGTCCCTCTTTAAAAGTAGACGGCTGCTCAGATTAACTAAAGCAGTGTGTTTATTTTTTAATCCAAGGTGCACTGGGCATCATGCTGGGTTGTTTCTACCGCCTCTCGTGTCTCATGTTCATCTCGACGTACTGGTACATCTTTTTCCTGGATAAAACGGCGTGGAACAACCACTCGTAC